GAGTCTATTCCTAACGTGGACGATTTATTGGAATATCCCCCAGCGGAGTTGCCGAGATTTTTCTGGGTTAACAGCAAGTGGAGTCCTAACGTGGACAGGTTCTAGTTGAGATTTCTTCGTATTGATGACAGACAGAGTCCTAATGTGGACAAGCAAGCAATCTGTCATCCCCAGCGTGGTCGTTACGAGATCAGCGAGCGGCTGCAAACAGTCAGATTCAGCTGATGAATGTCGTTCCCCAAGCAGGGGTGCAGTTTATTTCTGCGGTTGGCAAATTTCCGGGTTTCTTAGTATTCAACCGTCTCATACCTCGAATGTTTGAAGGCCGTTCGCTCTTCACCCAATCGGGTCCAAGTCGCTTGAATAGGGGCAGCTGTTGCACCCTAAAATTTGCTCAACCTTATTCACTTGGTTTATGTTTCAACATCATTAGCATTTGCATATAGAGTCATGTATATAGACTAATCATCTGCATAGCATAAGCATAGCAAGTCATTCAACAGGGGACCAATCATTATTCTCATCTCTAGAGGCCTATCAAAAGGTTATTATTCAAATTCAATCTCATTCAAGTCATCAGAAAGAATTGGGAAGCTACCAAGTCAATAGATCAAGCAAGTGCATCCATCTCCTATCTGGGGGTATCTGAGGATCAACAAGTAAGTGTGAGCTGTGGGCTGAGTAGGGGGAGTATCTAGACATCTTGGAGGACTTAGAAAGTCATTTGGAGAAGGAGACAAGTTGTTGATGGGACCACAAGAATTGCAGTTGAAGACAGTCAATTAGGGTTTCATCTGGGTCAACCCTAGGTCAATTGACTGATTGAAAGGCATTAAGGGCTATTGGAGAGATGTGGGGTCATCATTTGACATGGATAATAAGGATATGGTGTTGTGCCAAGAATAAATCAAAAGAAATCAAGAAGAAGAGGAGTTTCTAAAGTAGGGTTTCTGTGTAAAATCCCCTGATTTAGGTCAAATTTCCAAGCAAGATAAGTCAAAATGAAAGCTTAAAATGGCTTCTTGGCCAACATGAAACTTGTAGAGGATCTCAAGACCTTTAATTTGAGTGGTGGAAGACATCAAGGAGATTTATAGAACTCAAGTTATGGTCCTTGCAAGTTACAGGTCATCTGAGGTATCTGAAATTTTGTCTGTGAAAGTGACTTGACTTCCAAGCAATTTTTACCCCTCAAGGAGATTTCAAATGAATTTCTGGTCAACATAATAATTGTTCCTTATTGTCTTATCTTTCTAGAATGGTATAGTATGCCTTCATATGATGTGTGGAACTCAACTTATGGTCTTGGCAAGCAAAGGGTATTTTGGTCATTTGTGAATTACAGGTCATTTTAACCCATGTCCAAAACTCATACAAGGAGGCCTCAAATAAAAAAACTTACAACATCAAACTTGCTCCAAATGACATTTTTAGTCTAGAAAAGTGACCATGAGAGATTGGAAATGTCCATAGCACAAGGTTTCAAAATTGTTGAATTTAATGAAGAAAAATGGCTTAAAAAATGAGATTTTTCATATCTTGGCCAAATGATGCAAAATTATAGGTCATTTTGAATGGAAAGGGCATTTTAAAGACATTGGCTAAAGTGGAATTTTGAGTTTAGTTCATAATTTGATAGTTATCCATGGTTGCTTGAATTGAAAGTTACATAATCAACATCCAAGGGAATTTGCACAAGGGAAACTTCTCCAAGCTTCTAGGAAGTTCTAATCCCATCTATATATTCATGCAAGTTGGTTCATGCAAGGGTTGGTGCTCCCATTTGTTCAAAACCTCAATTTTCATTCATTTTCCCATTCTTGCATAAGCTTCTCAAACTCCCTCAATTTCTCACCAATCTTCACTATTCTTGATTGAGTCTTCATCATCATCACACAAGGATCAGAATCCACACTTTCATTTGTCAAATTGAGGAAGGAATTGAACCATTCACCATTATCATTCAAGAAGCATGAACTTTGGAAGTGAGTGATTCAAGGCCTTAGAACCACACTTGTTGCATACAGAAGTAATCACCAAGCCTACTGATCACATTCCCTTCATCACAAGCAGTTGATTTGAAGATCTCAGCACCTGTATCAAGGAATTACACCAGGTTTGTTTTCTCTTCGTATAGCATGAATTAGTTAGGGTTAATAGGTTTTGATAGTGTAGAACGGTTAAGGTAGGGTAGAGGATGGTTTTGGATGAATTTGAGAAGATTTCATGAAGTTTGAGCATGATGTGTTAATTCTGCTGAGGCTCTTAACTCTTGGATTAAGGCACGAGAATGTTAGTAGAGTAGCATGCTATGATCATGAGGAAGTGTAGATCAGTTTAGGATGAATTTTGTGGAGAATTGGAGAGGTTTCATATCAGGTATTAATGGTGATTTCCCTCTGTTCCACCTATCGGATTAGCTGATTGTTTGAGTTTCAAGGTAAACTATGGTTACAGACTTGTAGAGGGAAAGAAATGGAGGAATTTTGCTTTTCACATCGTGTGTTTTCATGGCGTGTGGAGGGAGAACAGAGGGAGAGAAGATCATGCATGGTTAGGGTTTTCTGAAACCCTAGGAGAGCTCAAGGTAGAAGACAATGGCTAGACCACACAATCCCAGCTTGACCTTTGACTAGAATTCCCATCCAACGGTCCACGTGCACTCTGAGAAACGGAGGGAAATTTTAAAAGATGAAACGCACCGTTTCATTTAAGTAGGGGAATTGGGCTCTGATGACTATTGGCACCCCCACACGCGCGAGGCCCAAATGTTTGAACTGGATTTCCTTACTTTTCTCACCCCTCCCCATTTATTCATTATATTTTCTTTTATTTTCTTTTCATTTTTCATTCATTTTTAAAAATTCATAATAAATGGAAAAAATATTATTTTTAATTCATTCTTTTTGCATATTTTTCTTTAGGATGTCTAGAAAATTATAAAAAATAAAAATTGCATTTTATTTTTTATTTTATATTTTTCCCATATTTTCTAAATAAATGGCATTTTAAATAGTTTCATTTCATGCATGATTTTGTTGATTTTTGTTCTATTAGATGCTTTAATATTTTTTGTCCATTCTTTTTAGGTTGTTTAGTTTAGACATTAAACTTGTAGATACAATTTAGTTCCCATTTTTAGAAATTAAATTTAGGTGCTTAGTGTAGGTGTGAACAACATGAACAAACTAGGGTTTTAGGTGATGACTTAGGAGAATCAATTCATTTCCCTTAGGACTTAGGGTTTGAATAGTTTAGCTATGGGACTATATGGGATATGGGTAGTTATTAGATCCCCTTAGAAAAGTCAGGATTCCCCTACTGCTATTAATGTACTGTATATATCTGATTGACTGATGTGGTGTGCCCTCAGGGGATTATTGCTTGCTTGTGTGGATATGGGGATTGTCTGGGAATTTGGGAGAGCTAAAGATTTGAGGAGATGAAGCCATTGGAGATCCAGATGTTGAAGATCAACTTCCAGAGTTGAAGAAGAGATTCTTGCTAGCAGATGCTGAGGAGACTAGGGTTTAGGAGCTAGGCAGAGCTCTAGATTAGAAAGCTTGTTTCTCAAACATGGATTGCCTTGTCTGCATCCATTCTTCTCTGTGATTCAGAGTCTCTCTAAGACACTCACCCCCTTCCTTTGGAAGGCTTGGTGATAGTGTCTAAGAGATAGAACTCTTGAGAGAAAATGTCTTTTGTGTTAGAAGCAGTCTGTTCACCACCTTTGGTAGTCAACTGATTGCTTAACACCCAATCCACTCTTGTGACTGCTCCCTCATCCTGGAGGTTTGAACTTGAAGAAAAGCCATTGCAGATAGAAGACTGATGATCAAAGCCCTTGCCTGAAGGCCATGAAGATGGAGACTGATGCTTGTTGAAGCCTGTAGCTGATTGGAGATTACTTGAAGCCAGATGTTGATTCAGAGCTGCTGATGCTGTTTTATTGCTGTATTTCATTTCTAATGTATTGATTGGTTTTCTGGACTGTATTGTTTGTTGTTTACCCTGCTGGGTTGAAAGTGAAGTCTGTTCACTTTTGCCTATTGTTTTCCAGGTTCGAGGTTGAGTGAGACTCCCTTGCCTCGCTTGTACTGTTGCATCCATGCATTTTACTGCTTTACTGTATATATCTGATATTGTTTCTGTTTCTGCCTATCCCTTAGGATCTCTGTTTCTCTCTGTGCAAGAGAGGAGCATGATAGACACTAGGTCTTAACCCATGCATGATAACATTAGGATAGTTTGATTCCCTTCGCAACCGTAGGTTAGAGTTCTGTCTCTTTCTTTCTCAAAACAAACAGAAAAACACAATAAAGATTTCAAACACAATAAAAGACACTTCTTTCGTAAAAGAAGGTGAACTCATCAAAGCGTCATTTTTGTCCGCCGGGACCGCTAATCAGAAAACCTTTTTCAGAAGGAATAAAATCAACCAAGGCAAGCTTGTGTCGTACGTGGCCCGAACTACGTTTGCTCTGATCTTTCATGCCGTGTGAAAGTACGTAGGCATAGGATGCGATATCCTAGCGAGCAACCTTCCCCTCCTTTCCCGTAGGTAGGCGAACTACGTTGACTCTGATTTCTCGTTCCAGGCGAGAATACGTAGGCATAAAGTGCGATACTTTGCCGAGTCATTTTTATTTTCATTTTATTTTCTTTTTAACCCTTGACCTATAGTTTAGATAGAATAATAATCCATACCTGAAAACAAGCGTGGATCCCGTCGAGTACGACGGATGTGAGGGGTGCTAATACCTTCCCCTTGCGTAACCGACTCCCGAATCCAGGTTTTGGTTGCGACGACCATACCTTTCCCGTGTTGTGCGAGGTTTACTCTGAGCGTTTCCTTTCCCTCCCGTGGGATAAATAACGCACGGTGGCGACTCTTCTGTTCAGCCGGCGCCGATTTTCGCAGTAGCGACACCGAGGATAGTGGATTTCTAGATACTGGTCATAGTATTCATGATTGTTTGGTTAAAGCATCGAGTATCCGAATGCCATATGCTTTAAGGAGTTTATTCGTGTTGATTCTCATATTTTGTGAACCTACTGATGTTAGAAGCCTTTGGAATGAGTTTTTTACACATATGACAGAGGATTATCAAACAACAAACAATGTTGTGGAATCGGTCTTGACTAATATGTTGTTGAAGGACTTGAATGAACTCTTAAACTTGCACGGTAAAAAGATTGAAGATTATGATCTACCATATTTACCCCTTGATACAGTACAAGGAGATTCAATTCCAAATGTCATACAGGAGGATTTAGTGGTCGATATCCCCAATGAAGATATTGAATTTGTTGCTAAGTTAAATAATGACCAAGTGATTATGTTCAAAACCATTATGAATGTAATTGATCAAAAACACAGTGGGGTATTTTTTGTTGATGATCCAGGAGGAACAGGTAAAACATTCCTTTATAGAGCATTAATGGCAAGTTTAAGAAGTAGAGGAGAAATTATTTTGGCAACTGCATCATCTAGTATAGCTGCAACATTGTTACCCGATGGTAGAACTGCGCACTCTCGATTTAAGATACCTATCAATATACAACTGAGTTCCATTTATGGTATTCAAAAGAAAAACGATCTTGCAAATCTCATTAGGGTTTCTGCTGCAATAATTTAGGATGAAGCCGCAATGATAAACAAAAATTGTTTGGAAGCCTTAGATCGATCATTATAAGACATTTGTAGCAATAATGCTCCATTTGGAGGAAAAGTTATGATCATTGGGGGAGACTTTCGTCAAGTTCTTCTTGTTGTAAGAAAAGGTACTAAGGTACAAATGATTTCTGCATGTATTGTTCAGTCTCATTTGTGGGCTCATACCAAAATTTTGCGATTGCGTCAAAATATGTGATCATTGCATGATCAAGAGTTTGCAGAATTTCTTATGCGCATTGGTGATGGTGTTGAACCTACCAAACCAGATGACATGGTGAGGTTACCTTCACAGATTGCAGTCCCATGGGAAGGTGACCATTCCATACAAGTGCTTATACAACATATTTTTCCTGATTTAGAATTACATTGTTGGGATGCCCTTTATATGGTACAAATAGCTATTTTGACCCCAACAAACGATGATGTCCAAAAATTGAATGATATAATTATTGACCAGTTTCCAAGAGAAGAACATAATTTGTTATCATTTGACGAGGTTGGAGGGGATAATAATAATTTATACCAGCAAGAATTCTTAAACTCAATTGCACAAGGTAGTTTGCCACCATATATTCTAAAGATAAAAAGGGTGCACCATTGATGTTGTTGCGAAATCTAGATCCTAGATATGGGTTGTGTAATGGGACGCGGTTATTATGTCGTGGGTTATATATGAATATGTTGGATGTAGAAATCTTGACAGGAAACAGCACAGGAAGACGAGCTTTCTTGCCCAGAATTAAAATAAAAACATCGGCCAGTGATGGGTTGCCTTTTGTCCTTAGTAGAAAGCAGTTTCTTCTACGGCTAAGTTTTGCAATTACAATAAATAACTCACAAGGATAAACCATTCCAAATATTGGAATATATCTTCCATGACATGTTTTCAGTCATGGACAGTTATATGTGGCTTTATCCAGAGGTGTTTCACAGACTACAACAAAAGTTTTATCCAAGGAAGGAAAATTGGAAGGAGAAAATGGTGACTACACAAAAAATGTAGTCTTTAAACAAATTCTTTTATCGCACCCGTAGGTATCATTATGTACATTATAAAAAATAATTTCACACATTGATTCTCATTTTAGTTACACGAAATACCAATATTATATTTTATTCTTTATATGATAACTAAGTATAAAATTGTGTGGCTTTGATATACAGCCAAACTAGAACATAATGAAGTCTTCCAATTATGTAAAGAGCTGAGACGGAAGAATGTTTAAACTTGCTTCGACATAAAATTAAGTTATACTTAATCATTTATTTTATGCTTTTAATTATAATCAATCAATTCGATCATACTTATTCTCACTATTCTTATACGGAATGGATTTTAGATGGGGGACTTTAAAGATAAATGGAACACATGGGAGGATGAACAAACAATTTCATCTATCGGCAAGCTAGACAATAAGGTGTGTTTACCTTTTCCGCAACATGTATAAAAAAATTTGTTTGTTGCATTTTCACCACTCTTTCACTAACACTTTTATCATTCTTATTAAAACAGATCAAGCGTCTAAAAGTTTACTTTGTCGGTTGGGGCTCCATAGTGATAACAGATAAAACACAACTTTGGAAAATGGTGAAAAAAGAAATAATATCTCAAAGGATGGACAGGTTTTTATTTTATTCATTTAATAATATTTATCCGTAGAATATTTTTGAATGCATGAATTTTACTTTTATTATTGGTTTGTGTAAATAAAACCATGTATATTCACTAAACCCATTTTTTTAATACCAGAAATCCACGTAATTCAAAAATAAGTCAAGGTTGTTGTTCTACCAAATCTGAACTAAAACAAAGTATCTTCGTTCTTCAAGTATACATTTATTTATGGCTCAGTACATCAGATTATAATCAAACAATTAGACATACTCCATTTTTTTCTTTAATTTTCATACTTATTTAAAAACGGTACCATTTTTTTCAAAGACGCGTTGAAAATTAATGTAATTTATCCAATAATTTTTTATTTTTCTTTTCTAAATAAAGAAGTTACTGGAGTGGTTTATGGATGAGCAATTAAGGGGTTACTACATCAAACATATATATATATATATATATATATATATATATATATATATATATATATATATATATATATATATATATATATATATATATATATATATATATATATATATATATATATATATATATATATATATATATATATATATATATATATATATATATATATATATATATATATATGAGAAAGAATGACAAGAGATCTAAGAGAAAATTGTAACATACAAAAAAATAGAAGAAGAATGATACAAACAAGAAGGAATGAAATCTGTCAAGAAAAAAAAAGAATGACTTTCATCGTCTAGTACAATGATATTTTATTCTTCTTTTTTCTTCACCTTTCCATTTCTTCTCTCTATGTCTTCTTTTATAGATGGTTTTGTATGAATGTTATTTTTTTAGATGTAACTCCTTATATAATTGCTCTGCATTAATAACTTTCAAAAATAAAAAACTACACTATTTGACGTGTCACTCTCATTTTGTCTATTTCTAATAATTGTAAGTTCTTTATTTTTACTTTTTCCAAAATATCTCTCTCAATGAGTAGTATCTCAAACAAAATCGGTTGTTCTTACTTTTTTATTTTCTACCAAATTATACTTTTCTGCTTCTAATGGTGTTGTATATTATTCTTCCATTAGTTTATTATCTTCTTTCAAATCTTTTCATGTCTATATAATTCATTTATCTTATATTTTTTGTCTATCTCTCTCATGTATATACATTCATTCTACAAATGATTTAATCTCTTTCTTTCTTAACTCTCATAATCTACATTTACCCATTCCTTTCATAACTCTCATAATCTATATTTATATTTATTAAGAAATCAAATCAACATAAATATTTAAAGGGTTAAAAGGACGGAAGAATAAACGCATTTGTCCCTTCATTTCATAACTCTCATAATCTCATTTTTTCCACGTATAATAATCCATCTCCATTCTATTCTATTTGTCATTCATTAATTTCTTTTGTTAGTTTCAAATGATTTTTTCACACATTTTTTTTATAACAAATTTCACTTTTCAAATAAATATATATTCTATGCAATTTGAGTAAAAATAAAGGATATAGAGATCTATTGAATATTGTATAACAATTGTTATTACTCTAACTTTATTTTAATGAATTGCAATGCAAACAAAAAATGTGAATGTGACTAAATTTTTCAATTATAGTTGATGTCTGAAACTATAACTTGGAAATTAATATGAAAAATTAGCATAACTTCAATACAATAGAAATATTTTTTCTTATGTTAAGTTGTATCTGCATGTTTCTTAAAATAGCATAAGCAATAGAATTTCAAGAAAAAAAAGCAGACTGCCAAAGAAAGTACGAGATTAAATATATTCATATCTGTTCTGGACTGGGCAGGGACCTGCCCATCAGTCGGGCAGGCCTAACCCAACACTACGTTGGGAAGACCCAATAAGGCCCAATCCTCCCATGTCGGGTACAAGCCATATATGTCGGGCAGAAGACTCCTTTGACGGGCAGACTCACACGTTTTCCTCATGTTCTCCACGTGCTCCCCCACATGGGGACATGTCATCAAGAAACTACTCACCTCCAAAAGACTTGATCAGCCCACCTTCCGAAGATCACGGGGCAGTTGATCTAGGGCGAAGACCACGTGCTGGTCTTTACTATGCCATGTAAGCCCTGGCAGTTACTTGGGTTGGGCCTGACACTCTAGCCCAATCCCTGTAACCGTTGGCCCTGCATTGGGGTCTCTATAAATACCCTCTTTCATTAGAGGGTCAGGTCTTCCATTCTACACCTACTCTTGTATTTGCTCTCCCACTCTGATCTTTTACTTACTTAAGCACCAGAGTGCCTTACAGGTACACCCCCTCTTTCTCCCTATCTCCGGTGAAAGTTATAATTCAATGATGCGTGGCAGGCCATTGATCCCTTCTGATCAGGTACGACCAATATCAATTCCACTTAAGAATCTCTTATCTTCCTATATGTTGAATGTATATGAGTGAATCTTATATGTTTTTTTTTTCATATTATTGTAACTTTATTCTATTTTTATAAAATAATTGGTTTTTGTAATGACGAAATTAGCACTTTACTATTGCATGTTAAAAACATAACTGAACAATTATTTTACCAAAAAATAAACTATAAAGTTCTAATGAATTTAATTGGAATACATTGACAGTGTAAAGAAGTTTTACACCGTCAGTGAATGATAACCATTAGATTATAAATTACATTTAAATTTTATTTTAAATATTTATCAAATAATATTTGTGGGTGGTTGTGATGCATTGACCGTTAATATTTTACATTGTCAGCGCATAGCAATTAATCTCAATTCTAATTATTTGCGGGCGACAATAAAATTAGGTTATTTTATTGCATTTTTATTTAAATTTCAAATTTCATTTTCTCCTTTTATTTCAAATACTATTTGTGTATGCATTTATTCTAATTATTGTAACTTTTCTAAATTAACCTGATTTTTTCTACACTTATAAAAATAGTTTTCTACTGCATGTTAAAAACATAAATGCGTAATATTGAAATAGGTGTATTGTATTGCTCACGAAACTATGATTGTTAACAATGTAATCTCAATTATTATTTCATTTATATTTCTTCTCTTTTTCTCTCACCATCATTTATCTTTTATTCATAATCAATTCTTTACAATGTATTTCTATTTAAGTTTCTATGTTTGTCTTTGTTCTTTTGCTCCGGTTCTCATCGTCATCTTTATAAGTAAGGGTTGAGTACCTCTTTAATTTCAAACAATCTCAATTAAAAAAGGTTGTAAATGGAAAAGGAGATAATTCATTTAAATTATTTTATAGATGCTTATATAAAATGATGATAAAAGGTGCATTTAAATTAGGTTTTTTCACTTTTGATGTGTATAATTGCAAATTAAATTTTCTAAACATTATTTATAAATAATATTATATTTAATGGAACGTAAACAAAAAATTTATTAAAAATATATATGCGTTAGCGCAATGGAAAAAGCGGACAAACGGGCACTTGAACGCTAGTAATAATAATAATAATAATAGTAGTAGTAGCAGCAACGGTGGTTACAAAAGTAATAGTGATGGTCTCATGGTGATTTTTATTATTGTTAAAGTAATAGTTGAGATAAAAATTTATATGATATAAAGATAAATTTATTCGCAATTCAATTCAGTTTTGGATGAATGATTAAAATATTTAATCTGATTTGATACAATTTTTTATAATTTAATTTAGATCAATTTCGGATATCTAAATTATAAATTATATTTTTATTAAGTTTATAAAAATGTTAATAAATAATAAATTTGATATAATATATAATATATAGTATATTAAAAGTTAACATTATAAAATAAAAATGATTGATTATGGTGGTTACAAATGAAATAATAAAAGTAAACGGATTAAACTAAAGTATTAAAAAATTAAGTATCATCGCATAATAAATTAACACAACATATCATCTATCTATCTATATATATATATATATATATATATATATATATATATATATATATATATATATATATATATATATATATATATATATATATATATATATATATATATATATATATATATATATATATATATATATATATATATATATATATATATATATAAAGGGGATACTACCTTTTGGATTGACCTTTTTTTTCCTTCCATATTTGCCCCTTACATATTATTTAAAATTCTCACAAAACCATTTATTTAATAACACTAAATGATAACGGTAGAAAAATAACCCACCAATTTCAATCCAACCACCATTTTTGCAAAAACAAGTTCAATTCATTATTGCAATTACGATTAATAGATTAGGAAGTTATATTCCTCCTCTTTGGTAACTTCTATATAGTTATTAATTATTTCTCTTTCTCTTTTTCTTTGCCAATCCATTTTAATTATTTCTCTTTCTCTCTTACTTTGCCAAGCCTTAAGTAACTCCATTATTACGGTGAAAGGAGCGATGCATTACTTTATTATCAAGAGAATTAATTTTTTGTCAGGTATGTTTTTTTAAATATAATTGGATGAATTTATTAAACATGTTAAAAACTGCTAATTTGTGTATTCTACGAAGAATTATACTATGAACTGCTAATTTCTGTTAAGACTTATATTATGAAGAATTATATCCGTGTATACCATGGAGATATTATTTTTTGTTAATGCATAAATATTTAATGTCTAATAAAAGTGTTACGTAATAGACATTGATATTCACCGACAACAAAAGTGTATTTTATGTCTAATACATATGGACTTAACTACAATAGAGATTTTATTGCACAAAATGTGACATTATTTCAGTGATTTACAAATATCTATGCATTTAATAAATATTAAGTAACTCCATTATATAACATTTTTATTATTAAATAATAATATCAATTCATAGATATCAAAAGTTTATTAAGTTATTTAATGCATAGATATTAAGTAACTCCATATGTATTATTTGAAATAATTGATAATTTAAATTTTTATTGCATTAGATTGTTTATTAAGTAACTCCATAGTGTATTAAGGGTATTAATTGTATTTAACGCATAGATTGTTTATTAAGTAACTCCATAAAATACACTTTTATTGCATTAACTGCAGTTAATTTGAAATAAACGTATAGACATCTATGTAATAATATCACATTACGTGTAATAAAAAACCAATTCCGATTTGTATAATAAACTTTCAATATTGCAATAGATGTGTATTTTACAAAACTGTATTACATTACTTTTGTGGGTGCACTCCTTTCTTCATTTCCTGGCAATTTGAAACTCCATCACCAACACGGACATTTCATCAAACACTTTATAGGCTATGCTACACTAACTAATTTGATATCCATACGAAAATTGAAAACAAAAGTAACAAACCCAAGTTTTCAAAAATTAAAAGAAGATAGATTAAAACGAAAAAATTGAACTTTGGATTAAAATTACAAGTACTGATTAAACAGAAAAGGGGGTTTGTACACCTACCGGTAGCAAAATGTGAATTTCTAAGAGAGATATTCAATTTACTTACAGAATTTCAAATTTTCTCGGAATCCAAGAGGGTATACAATTTTTTTTACTCACAATAGGGGTAATGTAAACTTGTGAAAAAATTTGTGTATGAAAATTGTGTATTGATTTGGTTAATAGTTCATAATTGTGTATTGATTTGGTTAATAGTTCATAATTATCCAACATAATTTATGTTTCTTTTCATTGATTGTCTATTTCTTCTTCGTCTTTTTTTATATTTTAGTTTAGATTTATATGTTTAACATATGTTTTACAAATAACACTTTTTATTGTAAACTTCTTTTTTTCTAAAAAAAATATATATTTATTTTAAATCCCATCTATATTTACCAATATTTTCAACATAATTAGTGAAATTATGTTGCTTATAAATTGCATATGTGTTTGGCAGTTACATTAAGAAAATGAAAAATAATATCCGTTAGATATCAAGTCAACAACAAAGGGCAAGAAGGGTCAAAAATGAAAGGAAGAGGAGACAAAATATGAATATCGAGCAAAGAGAAAATTATCTATAGATACGACGTGACAATTATAGGTGGAGAAAAGAGCAAGATAAACAAGCTCAAATATCTCGCACTATGAACAGTCGGAGGAGAGTTCCATTTCAAAATTTTACAAATATGAGATTTCCAAGATCACACTTTCAAGGAACTCATGACAATGAAGTCGACCCAAGTAGAATTACATATGTTAATGATGTTGCACTTGGTTGGTGATGATCAATATAGACATTATAATCGTACATTGTATAATATTGTTTATTTGCCACCTCTCATTTTATGTATTTAAACCCACAATTCGTAATTGCACATCACCTAACCAACGTATCAACAATAGTCAATCTGCTACTAGTATACAGGATATTGTTCTAAGTATGTGAGAAGTAATTTCAACACATACACACACACACACACACACACACACACACGCACGCACACACGAGACAAGATACAACACTATGAAGATGGCATGGCTATTGTTCTTCATGGAGGTAAACCATATGTTTTTCTGACTATGACATGCAATCCTTCTTGGAGTGAGATAACATCAGAACTTTTGCCTTTTCAAACACCACAAGATCGTCCAGATTTGCTAACAAGAATGTTTCGTTCGAAATTCGAGCAATTAAAGGATGATATTATTAATAAAGGAGTCTTAGAAAAGGTTAAAAGCTACATGTATGTCACTGAATTTCAAAAACGTGGATTGTCGCATGTGGATATGTTGTTGGTCTTAGAAAGTAACGACAAATTGTGTGGCCCAGAAAAGTATGATAGTGTGGTAAGAGCAGAAATACCTAAGTTAGAATGTGAACCACAATTGCATGAAGCAGTTCTAAAACATATGATCCATGGACCTTGCGGCGTTATCAATTGGAAGTCCCCATATAAGAAAGACGGACATTGTAAAAAAAGATATCCAAAACAATTCTTGGATGAAACACGTCAAGGCACTGACTCATATCCTGAGTATAGAAGAAGGTTTGATGAACCTATATCGTTAAGTAGAGGCAGGTCTGTCGACAATAGATGGGTGGTTCCTTATAATCCTTGGTTACTGTTAAAGTACGACTGCCACATCAATGTAGAGATTTGCAGTTGGTATCACCTTCGGAGGGAGAGATGTTTTACTTGCGAGTACTATTATCTCATGTCAGAGGTCCAACCAGTTGGGAATATCTTCTTACAAATAATGGCACTCCTTTCAGTATATTTAAAAAATCATCTGAGGATAGAGGATTTCTAGAGACTGATCATAATATTTATGATTGTTTAGTTGAAGCAGCGAGTTTTTGAATGTCATATGCTTTAAGGAGGTTATTCGTGACTATTCTCATATTTTGTGAACCTACTAATGTTAGAAGCCTTCGGAATGAGTTTTTTACACATATGACAAAGGACTATCAAACAACAAACAATGTTGTGGAATCGGTCTTGACTAATATGTTGTTGAAGGACTTGAATGAACTCTTAAACTTGTACGGTAAAAAGATTGAAGATTATGATCTACCATATTTTCCCCTTGATACAGTACAAGGAGATTCAATTCCAAGTGTCATACAGAAGGAGTTAGCTGTCGATATCCCCAATGAAGATATTGAATCTGTTGCTAAGTTAAAAAATGACCAAGTGATTGCGTTCAAAACCATTATGAATGTAATTTATCAAAAACACAGTGGTGTATTTTTTATTGATGGTCCAGGAGGAACAGGTAAAACATTCCTTTATAGAGCATTAATGGCAAGTTTAAGAAGTAGATGAGAAATTGTTTTGGCAACTGCATCATCTGGTATAGCTGCAACATTGTTACCCGATGGTAGAACTGCGCACTCTCGATTTAAGATACCTATCGATATACAACCGAGTTCCATTTATGGTATTCAAAAGCAAAACGATCTTGCAAATCTCATTAGGATTTCTGCTGCAATAATTTGGGATGAAGCCCCAATGATAAACAAAAATTGTTTGGAAGCCTTAGATCGATCATTACAAGACATTTGTAGCAACAATGCTCCATTTGGAGGAAAAGTTATGATCATTGGGGGAGACTTTCGTCAAGTTCTTCCTGTTGTAAGAAAAGGTACTAAGGTACAAATGATTTCTGCGTGTATTGTTCAGTCTCATTTATGAGCTCATACCAAAATTTTGCGATTGCATCAAAATATGCGATCATTGCATGATCAAGAGTTTGTAGAATTTCTTATGCGCATTAGTGATGGTATTGAACCTACCAAACCAGATGACATGGTGAGGCTACCTTCACAGACTGCAATCCCATGGGAAGGTGACCATTCCATACAAGTGCTTATACAACATATTTTTCTTGCTTTAGAATCGCATGGTTGGGATGCCCTTTATATGGTACAAAGAGCTATTTAAACCCCAACAAACGACGATGTCCAAAAATTGAATGATATGATTATTGACCAGTTTCTAGGAGAAGAACATAATTTGTTATCATTTGACGAGGTTGAAGGGGATAATAATAATTTATACCAGCAAGAATTCTTAAACCTAATTGCAAAAGGTAGTTTACCACCACATATTCTAAAGATAAAAAAGGCTGCACCATTGATGTTGTTGCGAAATCTAGATCCTAGATATGGATTGTGTAATGGGACACGATTATTATGTCATGGGTTATATATATGAATATGTTGGATGTGGAAATCTTGACAGGAAACAACGCAGGAAGACGGGCTTTCTTGCCCAGAATAAAAACATCGGCCAGTGATGGGTTGCCTTTTGTCATTAGTAGAAAGAAGTTTCTTGTGCGACTAAGTTTTGCAATTACAGTAAATAAGTCATAAGGACAAACCATTCCAAATGTTGGAATATATCTTCCACGTCATGTTTTCATTCATGGACAGTTATATGTGGCTTTATCCAGAGGTGTTTCACAAACTACAATAAAAGTTTTATCCAAGGAAGGAATATTGGAAGGAGAAGATGGTGACTACATAAAAAATGTAGTCTTTAACAAATTATTTTATCGCACCCGCAGGTATCATTACATACATTGAAAAATAATCTCACACATTGATTCCCATTTTAGTTACACGAAATACCAATATTATATTGTATTCTTTATATGATAATTGATCGTACCTGATCAGAAGAGATCACTAGCCTGCTACGCGTCTGAGCTGTCGAACTGTTGACTTGACGGACAAAAAAGGGAGGGTGTACCTGAAACACACTTCGATGCAAAAGTAAGGGACGAGCAGAGTGATAACAAGTATAGAGAGGAAGGAGTAAGAATTAGATTACCTGAACCTCTAGTGGAAGAGGGTATTTATAATGAGCCACCACCGCAAGGCCAACGGTTACTATGCATTGGGTTGGACTGCCAGGCCTAACGCTGGTAACTGCTAGAGCTGACGTGGCATCGTGAAGACCAGCACTTTGCTCTTCGCCCTAGTGTAACTGTTACGTGCTATCTGGGAGGTGAAGGACCGAGTAATCGGGACACTTATAGTCACCTAATAACGTGTCTATGCATAGGGGACATGTTGAGAACATGGGGGAGGTCATAGGAGCTTCCCGAGCTGGATGGGTTCTGCCCGACCGTGGGGCAGAAGAGAGGCGAGTTGGGTAGATACGGGGATCCTGCTCGACTGCTGTTGGTCCATGCCCGACGGGAGAAGATGTTATGTCCGACAGGTCTCTACCCAACGATGAGGTCTTATTAGGCCTTCCAACCTGGTCGGGTTTAGGCCTGCTCGACTATGGGCCAAGCGTCGGCCCAGTCCAGAACAGTAGCCCTCCAAGTCGTTGCTCGTGGTCAAACGAGTGATGACTTAAGGTGCAAAAAGTGTCGAGCATGATGCTTTGTCGGGCAGGCCACAACTGTATTTGTCGAACGAGCCTATGATGTAGGGGAAACCCGCGGTCGAGGAGGGGAATTTGAAGAGACGTAGGGAAGGCTGAGGGTCACCACGCGTCACCCTAAGGAGGCTACGGGCTAGGCACATGAGTGCCTAACGATGCTTCATTTTTCGTGCTAGGGCATATATATATACGTGGGCCCAGACCATCTTTCCGTTCTCTCGTTCTTTTTGTTGTTATTCCACCTTCTGAATTCCCTGCTCAACGCCTACAACCTTTCTGCTCAACACAACCGCTTTTCTCTGCTGTATCACATAAGTCTTTGCCTCCATACTGGTATTGTTTTAATAAATTTCTGGCGGTGCTCCCAATGGTTCCGATGGGCATGCCGGGGAGACCGTGGGCTTTTATGGCGAATACACCGAAGAGTCCTTCAAACTAGGGTTCTGATTGATCGTCCCCGGCCCCTGCGATGAGTGGCCCGGGGAGGATCAATGACCGTTGAATGTCCCGAGGGTAGTTGATGAATACCTCAGACATGATTGATGAGTGCACTGAGGATAAAAAAATTGCATTCCCCGGGCACATCGGAGGGTCAGGTTACCCTAAAGTGGTCTTCTGGGCACCCAGGCGTCCACGCCCTTTCACTTGAACTGCGGTGGTGGATTTGATTTGGCTGTCGAATTCACCAAGTTCCTCTGCTTTTCAGGTAAATGGCTGCCCATGAAGAAGAGGAAACGATATGGTATCAGTCCGACAATGAAGAGGGTCTCCAAGATGAGGCCGTCGTGGATCCTCCGGACAGGCCGGTCGGGGAGTGGGTCGGGGACAAACCCCTCAACTATATGACCTAGTTCGTGCTCGATTATTCTGATGTTTTTACTGTGATCGAAGATAGAGAGGTCAGAACTCCTCGTCAGTTTAGAGCATGTCAGCCTCGGGAGCTGGACCATATCTGCTCTCGCTACAACAAGGGTTGATTCCCTCTGTATGAATTTGTGTTTAAGGAGGCAGGGATGAGTCTGTCGTTCACAGATTTCCAGTAGGGAGTGTTCGACCACCTGATGCTGGCGTCGTCTCAACTCCACCCAAACTCCCTCGCTTTCCTCCGTGCATTCGAGATCGTCTACAATTATCTCGAGCTCGGGTCCACCATACCATTGTTCTTCTATGTCTTCCACTTGCAGCGACAGACTGTGGTTGATCAACATAAATGGGTCTCCCTGAAGCAGCCGACCAGGCTCTTCCGAGCATACACAGACTCTGTTAGAGGGTTCAAGGATAGGTGGTTTATGGTGATGCCGGAGACGGATGAGGTCGTTAATACAATGTCTTGATGAAAGGTTACCATCATGGACGGCGAGTCCGAGGAGAGCTTTGAGTCCCATTTCCCATTAGAGTGGATGGAGTTGGACTTTCGATCTAGTACAGAGAGTTTTATCTATCGACCTAACCACCTGGGCGAGGAGGATAGCCTGGATTTTAAGAAATTGGTGGACTTCGTTGGGCGTCTTCCTCCTCGTAAGTGCGTGACCCCGGATAGGCAGTACATCCACGATGTCGACAGGGAGATCTTGACCGAGACCAGGTGCATCAATACAAAGGCCCTCCTCGAGTGCCGGACGGAGGCGGAGGCTCATTGGTTTTTAGGTAACGGGCCGCTTCCTCGACTTTCCTTTGTTCTGTTTCGGCTTTCTGTACTAACTGTTTTCTTTTGCTCTCCTTGCAGGTGATATGGGTTTGATGGAGGAACGTGCGACGAAGCTGCTGAACAGGGGTGCTCGACGTCCCTCTGGGAGGGCCACTACTGTCAGGAAGGAGGTCGCTGTTGGACCGGTGGGGTTGGCTTCGCCTCCGCAAGGTAGCGGCTCTGCGGCTGCGCCGCCGGCCTCCAAGAGGCGACGAGAGATTGAAACGTCCCCAATCGACTTGACGGACGGCTCCTCAGATCGGCATTTTATTCTTCCCCCTTGTTGTCTCCGGCCCAATTTATTTACAGGGGAGAATGTCCCTGCCGTGGCTTCTGAAGAGGCGAAGAGTATCCTAGCTGCCAACAAGGAGGCTCGGAGGAAGATGTTGTCTGATGACCTAGCTTCGGTGGTGAGGGCGTTTGAGACGGCCCCCGTACTTGACGAGGAGGGGTGCTCACCGGTGGACTTAGCTACCTTTCGGGGTGAGATGGCGGTATCCGAGGAGGTTTGGTCCAAGCTGGTTGCCGACCAGAGAGAGTATCAAAAGCAAGACAAAGTCCATCGCGAGCGGATCAGGGAGCTCGAGAAGATGCTGAAGGACGGGGAAGACGAGCTGGCCGGGATGAGGAGTCGGGTTACTGAGCTCAATGGTCTGGTTGCTCCTGTTGAGGAAGAGTCTGACGAGGAGAGGTTGTTGGCTTCCTCATGGGAGCTGGTGGAGAAGATC